CATTAGCATTTTTTAGCAATAAAGTATTTTTACACTAAAGTATGTATATTGTTTTTTAGACATAATGCTGTTGCATACTTAACAGACTATGATATAGTGTAAATGTAACTTTTAATACACCCTGGGAAATGAAAAAATTGTATGACTCACTTTATTGCAATATTTGCTTTATTACGGTGGCCTGGAACCTAATCCATAATACCTCTAAGATATGCCTGTATGTATATATACATAATACATAGCAGGGATCCCTAACCCCTGGGCCATGGACCATGATACAGTTCGGCTGTGTCCCCACCCAAATCTCATCTTGAATTTTTTTTTTTTTTTGAGATAGTCTTGCCCTGTTGCCTAGGCTGTGCAATGGCGAGATCTCATCTCACTGCCTCCCCGGTTCAAGCGATTCTCCTGCCTCAGCCTCCTGAGTAGCTGGGATTACAGGCGCATGCCACCACACCTGGCTAATTTTTGGCATCTTTAGTAGAGATGGGGGTTTCGCCATGTTGGTCAGGCTGGTTTCAAACTTCTGGCCTTGTGATCTGCCCTCCTTGGTCTCCCAAAGTGCTGGGATTACAGGCGTGAGCCACTGCGCCCCACCTTGAATTATTGTTCCCATAATACCTGTGTGTTGTGGGAGGGACCAGGTAGAGATAATTGAATAATTGAGGTGGTTTCCCTCATCCTGTTCTCTTGATAGTGAGTGAGTTCTCATGAGATCAGATGGTTTTATAAGGGGATTTCCCCTTTCCTGGGCACTTCTCCCGCCTGTCACCATGTAAGAATGTGCCTGTTTTGCCTTCTGCCATGATTGTAAGTCTCCTGAGGCCTCCCTAGCTATGCGGGACTGTGAGTCAATTAAACCTTTCTTTGTCAATTACCCAGTCTCAGGTATGTCTTCATAGTAGCATGAGAACAGACTGATACAGACCAATACCAATTCGTGGCCTGTTAGGAAATGGGCAGCATAGCAGGAGATGAGCAGCCTGTAAGCAAATATTACCATCTGAGCTCTGCCTCCTGTCAGATCACTGGCAGCATTATTCTCATAAGAGCACAAACCCTGTTGTAAACAGCACATGGGAGGGATCTAGTTTTTGTGCTTCTTAGGAAGAATCTAATGCCTGATGATCTGAAGTGGAATAGCTGGATCATATGTTAGGTGTGTCTGTGACTTTAAGCAAAATTGCCAAACTGTTTTTCAAAGTGGTTGTACTATTTTTCATTCCCATGGGCACTGATGAGAATTATACTTCCTTGTCAGTACTTGAGATAGTTGATCTTTTTAATTTTAGCCATTTTGCTAGGTATGCATTGTGATTTCAATATGTGTTTGCCTAATGACTGATGATGTTAAAAATCTTTGTGTGCTTGTCTTCCCTTTATATATTGTCTTTGGTGAAGTGTATACTCAATATCTGGCCATATTTTAACTGAGTTCTTTGTTTCTTCTTCTGCCTCTTTTTTTTTTTTTGAGATGACATGTCATTCTGCCACTCAGGCTGGGGTGCAATGGTGCAATCTTGGCTTACTGCAACCTCTGCCTCCTGCATGCAAGTGATTCTCCTGTCTCAGCCTCCCCAGCAGCTGGGATTATAGGTGTGTGCCACCTTGTCTGGCTAATGTTTGTATTTTTAGTAGAGACAGGGTTTCACCATGTTGGCTGGTCTTGAACGCCTGCCCTCAAGTGATCTACCCACCTCAGCTTCCCAAAGTGCTGGGATTGCAAGCATAAGCCGCTGCGCCCAGCCAGGTTCTTTGTTTTTTTTCTTATTGAAGTTTGAGAGTTTTACAAAATATAGATACAAGTCCTTTATCAAGACATATGATTTGAAAATATTTTCTCTCATACTTGGCTTGTCTTTTCATTCTTTTAATAGCATATTTAGTAGTTCTTAATTTTTATGAAGTCAAGTCTATTATTTTGCTTTTTTCAGATTATACTTTTGGTGTCATGTAGGAAATATTTGTCTAATCTAAGGTCACAGAGATTTTCTTTTGTGTGTTCTAAATGTTGTAAAGTTTGGGGTTTTACATTTAGGCTCTGGCCCATTATGAGTTAATTTTTTGTATATGTTGCATGGTATGGATCAAAATTTTTTTGCGTATGAATATCCCAGTTATTCCCGGCACCATTTATTGAAAAGACTATCCTTTGTCTGCAAAATTGATTTTGCACTTTTGCTGAGAACTAATTGACTATATATGTATGGATCTATTTATGGACTCTCTATGCTGTTCTTTTGGCCTGTTTGTCTTGATGCCAACACTCTCTTGATTACTGTAGTTTTAAAATACGTTTTCAAGTCAGTCAGTGTAAGTCCTTCAACTTTATCCTTTTTAAAAAGTTGTTTTGGCTACTCTAGGCCTTGGCATTTCCATATGACTTTTAGAATTTGCTGGTTAATGTCTACAAAAAAGTCTGCTAGGATTTTGATTGAGACTACACTATATTTCTAGATCAATTTGGCAGGCAGCTAGCATCTATCTTAGCAATATTCAGTCTTCTAATTCATAAACACAGTGTATCTCTCCTTTTTTATTAGTAGGTCTTTTTAAAATTTCTCTGAGCAGTATTTTTTCAGTGTAAATCTTTGATCAGATTTAACACTACTTAATATTTCTAATACTGTGGTAAGTGGTTTTTTTTTTTTTTTGTTTGTTTGTTTTGAGATAGAGACTTGCTCTGTTGCCCAGGCTGGAGCGCAATGGTGTGATCTTGGCTCAATGGCGTGATCGTGGCTCATTACAACCTCTGCCTCCCAGACTCAATCGATTCTGCTGCCTCAGCCTCCTGAGTAGCTGGGATTACTGAGTAGCTAGGTGTGTGCCACCATGCCTGGCTAATTTTTTGTATTTTTAGTAGAGATGGGGTTTCACCATGTTGGCCAGGCTTGTCTTGAACTCCTGACCTCAGGTGATCTGCCCACCTCAGCTCCCAAAATGCTGGGTTTGCAGGCGTGAGCCAAAGCCCTGCAGGTAAGTGGTGTTTTTTCAAGCATTTCATTTTCCAGTGGTTTCTTGCTAGTATTTGAAATAAAATTAATTTTTATATATATTTTCAAGCTTCTAAACTAGCCTGGGAAACACAGCAAGACACCATATCTACAAACATTTCTAAAAGTTAATTGGGTGTCGTGCTACACGCCTATAGTCCTAGCTACTCAGGAGGCTGAAGAAGGAGGATCAATTGAGCCCAGGAGTTGGTGGGTGCAGTGAGCTATAATTTTGCCACTGCATTCCAGCCTGGGTAACAGAGCAAGACCCTATCTCAAAAAAATAAAAATCTTTTCTGGGCACTGTGCCTCATGTGTAATCCCAGCACTTTGGGAGGCTGAAGCGGTTAGATCATCTAAGGTCAGGAGTTCGAGACCAATCTGGCCAACATGGCAAAACCCTGTCTCTATTAAAAAATACAAAAATTAGCTTGGTGTGGTGGTGCATGTCTGTATTCCCAGCTATTCCAAAGGCTGAGGCAGGAGAATCATTTAAACCTGGGAGGTGGAGGTTACAGTGAGCCGAGATCATGCCACTGCACTTCAGCCTGTATTGTTGGATTTGATTTGCCATCATTTTAATAAGAATTTTTGCATCTATATTCACAAAGGATATGTGTAATTTTCTCTTCTTGTAATGTCTTTGTCTTGTTTTGATACAAGTAATGCTGACCTCATAGAATGAGCTTGGACATATTCTCTGTTCTTCAATTGCCTAGAAGAGTTTGTAGAAGATATTATTTCTCCCTTAAATATTTGGTACAATTCTGTCCTTAAATATTTGGCACAATTCTGTCCTTAAATATTTGGTACAAATCATCAAGGAAGCCATCTGGGCCTGATTTTTCTTTTCTGGGAAATATTTTAACTACAAATTCAATTTCTTTAATAGCTATATGGCTATTCTCTTTCTCACCCAGGCTGGAGTATTCACTGCAGCTCTGACCTCCCTGGTTCAAGCTATCCTTCTGCCTCCGATTCCTAAGTAGCCACGACTGTAGACATGCACCACCATCCCTCGCTAATTTTGTATTGTTTGTAGAGACAGGGTTTCACTGTGTTGCCCAAGCTGGTCTCAAACTCCTGGGCTCAAGCGATCCACCCACCTCAGACTCCCAAAGTGCTGGGATTTTATAGGCGTGCACCACTGCACCTAGCCTCTTTTTTCTCTGAGTAAGCCTGGGTTATTTGTGTCTTTCAAGGAATTTGTCCATTTTTTTCTAAGTTACTGAGTTTATTGACAAAATGTTCTTAATTTTCTTCATTATCTTTTAATGTTTGTAGAATCTCTAGCAATATCTCTTTTCTTACTCCTGGTATTGGTTATTTATGTCTTCTCTTTTATTTTCCTTGATCAGTCTGGCTAGAACCAGCTTCTTCCTGTTGTTTTCTATTTCATTCATTTATACTGTAATCTTTTATTCTTTCCTTTATTTTACTTGTTTTGGGTCTTATTTGCTCTTTTGTTTCTAGTTTTATAAAGTGAAAGCTGTGATCATTGATTAGAGATAATTCTTTTCTACACTGAAGTCATAGTGATATTTTATATAATTTTTTTTTTTTTGAGATGGAGTTTTGCTCTTGTTGCCCAAGCTAGAGTGCAATGGAGCGATCTTGGCTCACTGTAACCTCCACCTCCCAGGTTCAAACGATTCTCCTGCTTCAGCTTCCCGAGTAGCTGGGATTCCAGGCACCCACCACCACACCTGGCTAATTTTTGTATTTTTGATAGAGATAGGGTTTCACCATGTTGGCCAGTTTGGTCTTGAACTCTTGATCTCAAGTGATCCACCTTCCTTGACTTCCCAAAGTGCTGGGATTGCAGGTGTGATCCACCATGCCTGGCCTATATAATTTCTTTAATAGTTCTAAAGTTTTAAAAGTATATTTATTATTACATAGAATGAATCTGGAGTTTATTTTATTTTTGTTTTGCTTTGCTAACCAGCTGACTTTAATGGAGTTTATTTTTATTTATAAGTTAGGAATCTAATTTAAAGCCTTTTCCAAACAGATTGCTACTTGTCTCAACTCAGTTTATTATTGAATAGTACTTTCCCCAATCATTTATATTACTATTCTGTCATATACTAAGATTCTAAATATGGTGGAATCTGTTTCTGGGTAATCTAGTCTTTATCTCTATGCCTAGGCCAGTACTGTAGAGTTTTATTTCCTAAAGCTTTAGAATAAATCTTGCTGTGTGATAGGGCAAATCTCTCCTCTTTATTTTTATTTTTCAGAATTGTCTTCGGTTTTTAAAACCTTTACTCTTGCCTATGAGTTTTATTATTAGTTAAATTCCGGGCTGGGCACAGTGGCTCATGCCAGTGATCCCAGCACTTTGGGAGGCCAAGGTGGGCAGATCACTGGAGGTAGGAGTTTGTGACCAGCCTTGTCAACATAGTGAAAACCCCTTCTCTACTAAAAATACAAAAATTCACTGGGCTTTGTGGCACGTGCCTGTAATCCCAGCTACTCAGGAGGCTGAGGCAGGAGAATCACTTGAACCCAGGAGGCAGAGGTTGCAGTGAGCCAAGATCACGCCATTGCACTCCAGCCTGGGCGACAGAGTGAGACTCTGTCTCAAAAAAAAAAAAAAAAGTTCCACAAAAAATCTTGTTGTGATTTTGATTGCTGTTAAATGAAATTATAGTTTGGTGGCAAGTGAACATTTTTAGCATTGTTTTGTGAGATGTTTAGCTTGTCATTTATTTAGATTTTCTTTTTAAAAATGTTACGTAATGTTAATTATCACAATTAAGAGATAGGCACTATAATCTCCAGTATATAGATTCTGTAGAAGAGCAAATGACTATAAGCCAAAGTCTGCCTGACTTTAGAGACCATTTTGCCAGATGTTATTATTTGTTCAAAATATTTTCTGCTCTTCTAGGAGAATTACACTTTTTGCCCTATCAGTATAAGGCTAGGTCATGTACTTTGCCAGGGCCAATGAAATGAGAGTAGAAGTAACAGTGTTGCTTTCCGGGAGAAGCTTTAGAATCTCTGTATATTTCGCTGGTAGCTTCTTTTCCTTTACCATAAAGTTAGGATGTCTCAGATGAGGGGGTGTCCTTCAGCCTGAGCCTTGCTTTGATGTGGCTCTTGTTGGCTTTGCATTCACTTGTGGTTCTGCAACCCCTTAACAGGCTTCTGGAGTTCTTACAAAGATAATTTGATATTGTTGTTAAGTTGGTTTTTCTGTGGGGGAAATGAGAACCTGGGGCTTCCTATCCCGCCATCTTGCCGATGTCATTCCTATTTAGATCTTTTATGTTAACACTTTTCAATTCTTTTCATTATGGTCTTGGATATCTTCTGTTATAGTTATTTCTATAGTCTTATAGTTTTTGTTGCTATTATGAATGGTATTCATTTTTTTCAACCCTACTGAATTAATCCCTTATGAATTTGGATACTTTATCTGTGGATTCTTTTGGATCCTCTATATGGGCACTTGAAACATCTCTAAATTATGACAACTCCATCTTTTCAATCCTTAAATGGCTTAATTCTTCTCTTTTTTTTTTTTTTTGAGACAGAGTCTTACTCTGTTGCCCAGGCTGGAGTGCAGTGGTGCGATGTCAGCTCACTGCAACCTCTACCTCCTGGGTTCAAGAGATTTTCCTTCCTCAGCCTCCTGAGTAGCTGGGACTATAGGCATGTGCACCACAATAGAGACAGAGTTTCATTATGTTGACCAGTCTGGTTTCGAACTCCTGACCTCAGGTGATCTGCCTGTCTTGGCTTCCCAAACTGCTGGAATTACTGGCATGAGCTGCCATGCCTGGCATATGGCTCATTTCTTTTCCTTGTCATATTGTATTGGGTAGAATAGTACTAGTATTAAATAGAATAGCAGGGGTAATATTAGGCATCTGTGTCTTGCTTTCCTTAAATAAGATTATTTAAAAACCTACCATTGGCCAGGTGTGGTGGCTCATGCCTGTTATCCCAGCACCTTGGGAGGCTGAGGTGAGTGGGTCACGAAGTCAGGAGATAGAGACCATCCTGACCAATATGGTGAAAACCCGTCTCTACTGAAAATACAAAAATTAGCTGGCCATGATGGCACATGCCCGTAGTTCCAGCTACTTGGGAGGCTGAGGTAGGAGAATTGCTTGAGCTCGGGAGGCAGAGGTTGCAGTGAGCCGAGATTGCACCACTGCACTCCAGCCTGGCGACAGAGTTAGACTCTGTCTCAAAAATTAAAATAAAATAAAAGTCTACCATTAAAGGCTGGATGCAGTGGCTCATGCCTATAAACCAAGCACTTTGGGAGGTCCAGATTGGAGGATCATTTGAGGCCAACAGTTTGACACTAGCCTGGTCAACATAGCAAGACCCCCATCTCTTAAAAGAAAAAAAATATTATTACGTATATTTGCAATAGTTATTGTACCTGCTTCTTGTTAAGTTTAGGAAATTCTCTTCTATCCCTAATTTGCCTGCAGTGTTTGTTATGAATGAGTGCTGTATTTTCTAAAATGTTCTTTCTGGGCCAGGCACAGTGACTCATGCAGGTAATCCCAGCACTTTGGGAGGCCAAGACGGGAGGATCACTTGATGCTGGGAGTATAAGACCAGCCTGGGCAGAATGGCAAGGCCCAGTCTCTACAAAAAAACAAAACAAAAATTAGCTGGGCATGGTAGTTTGCACCTATAGTGTCCCAGCTTCTTGGGAGCTTGGGACAGAAGGATCATTTGGGCCCAAGAAGTGGAGGCTGCAATGAGTCAGAACTGTGCCACTGAATTCCAGCCTGGGCAACAGAGCAAGACTCTGGCTCAAAAAAAAAAAATGTATATATATATCTTTGGCTGGGCATGGTGGCTTAACGCCTATAATTCCAACAATTTGGGAGGATTGCTTAAGTCCAGGAGTTCAAGACCAGCTTGGGCAACATAGTGAGAACCCATTTCTACTTATAAGGAAAAAAAAGTGCCCTTTTAGCTCTCTGAGCAGCACCATGGTGGTTGGCAAGAACAAGCGCCTTACGAAAGGTGGCAAACAGGGAGCCAAGAAGAAAGTGGTTGATCCATTTTCTAAGAAAGATTGGTATGATGTGAAAGCACCCGCTATGTTCAACATAAGAAATATTGGAAAGACGCTAGTCACCAGGACCCAAGGAACCAAAATTGCATCTGATGGCCTCAAGGGTCGAGTGTTTGAAGTTAGTCTTGCTGATTTGCAGAATGATGAAGTTGCATTTAGGAAATTCAGGCTGATTACTGAAGATGTTCAGGGCAAAAACTGCCTGACTAACTTCCATGGTATGGATCTGACCCGTGACAAAATGTGTTCCATGGTCAAAAAAATGGCAGACAATGATTGAAGCTCATGTTGATGTCAAGACTACCGATGGTTACTTGCTTCATCTGTTCTGTGTTGGTTTTACTAAAAAACGCCACAATCAGATACAGAAGACCTCTCATGCTCAGCACCAACAGGTCCGCCAAATCCGGAAGAAGATGATGGAAATCATGACCCGAGAGGTGCAGACAAATGACTTGAAAGAAGTGGTCAGTAAATTGATTCCAGACAGCATTGGGAAAGACATAGAACAGGCTTGCCAATCTATTTATCCTCTCCATGATGTCTTCGTTAGAAAAGTAAAAATGCTGAAGAAGCCCAAGTTTGAATTGGGAAAACTCATGGAGCTTCATGGTGAAGGTAGTTCTGGAAAAGCCACTGGGGATGAGACAGGTGCTAAAGTTGAACAAGCTGATGGATATGAACCACCAGTCCAAGAATCTGTTTAAAGTTCAGACTTACAATAGTGGCAAATAAAATGTCTTATTTGTGGCCGGGTGTGGTGACTCATGCCTGTAATCCTAGCACTTTGGGAGGCCGAGGTGGGTGGATCACCTGAGGTCAGGAGTTCAGAACCAGCCTGGTTATCATGGTGAAAGCCCATCTTTATTTAAAAAAAAAAAGAAGTGTACACACACACACACACACCTCTGATTATGCTACGTATATAGAGAGAGATAGATATATCCTTAATCTATGAATTATGGATATTTGTGAATTATAAATTATATATCTTTAGTCCATGGTGAGCTGTGTTAATAGACTTTCTGATGAAACATCCTTACAGTTGTAATCTAACAACTGTAATCTCACACCTGTAATCATGATCATGGTATATAACTTTTACATATCCTGGATTTAATTTTTAAGTCTGTGTTCCTAGTGAGATTGGTTTATATCATAAACCAATCTGTCCTTTTTGGTATCGAGATTATACTAGCTCTATAAAATGAGTTGGTAGATTTCTCTTCTTTGGAACTTTTTGTATCTGTTCTTTGAAGATGTGGCAAAGCTAACCTATACACAAGAAAGTTTGAGGCCAGGCATGGTGGCTCAAGCCTGTAATCCCAGCACTTAAGGAGGCTGAGGCATGAGAATTGCATGAACCAGGGAGGCAGAGGTTGCAGGGAGCCAAGATCATGCCAGTGCATTTCAGCTTGGGTGACAGAGTGAGATTCTGTCTCAAAAACAAAAACATATATATATATTTAAAAATATGGCTGGCATTGTGGCTCACACCTGTAATCTCAAACTTTGGGAGGTCAAGGCAGCATGATGGCTTGAGGCCAGGAGTTTGAGGTTATGGTGATCTCTGATCATGCTACCATGCTCCAGCTTGGGTGACAGACTGAGACCCTTTATTTGGGGAAAAAAATGTGTGTGTGTGTGTGTGTGTGTGTGTGTGTGTACACAAGAAATTGGCCTGTTTACTTCTTTTTGTTCTTTTATCTTTTTATTCATCTATGCATATTTATTAGCACCTGCCATGTACCTGCTTGTATTAGATGTTTCATCTTAGTTTTCAAATTAATTGATGTGAAGTTATTTATGGTATTATTTTATGTTTTAAAGATATTTGTACTCATATCTCTTTTGAGCGTCTTTGCTTTTGTGCCTTTTTCTTGATGGTTGTGATGATGATAATACTAATAACAATGATTGTATTTTAACTACAAAAAGGTTAAGTAACTTGCTCTAGGTCACAAGTCTAGTAAGTGATTGAATGGGGTATATCAACCTAGAAAGACTGGTTCCAGAGGCTTTGTTTTAACTACCATTCCATAGTATTTTGGTCTACTCTAAGTATACTGTTTTACTAGAGGTTTGCCTATTTTATTCGTTTTTCAGATAACCAGTTCTTCATTTATGCTTTTTGAACATAGAGATATTATTTCTCTCTTCCCTTGACAACTTCTCACTTCACTCTTGTACTACAAGTTGAGTAAATCTATATAATTGTACCCAGTAGCCTCACATTTGGCAGTGAGATTTGATAATCAGATTGTTGAGTTGTGTAAAAAGGCAAATGCAGGCTTGTAAAGGTGGTCAAGTTTTTCTCTCTCCATTCTCAGTCTGTGTCCTTTTTGTCTGGGGACCAATGGTAGTATGAGGTTCGGGTGCTTATTTCTTTGTTGGAGACTTGGTAGCCACACCTTGGTTGACTGGCTTCTTGGCTAGGTGAGTTCTATGATTATGGAGTCATGGCCACTAATCCCTCTGTCTTCTAAGGGAGTGAAATTTAGAAGTGTAGAATGAAAAAAAAGAAAAAGTATAGAATGAAGACTGGGGGCTATGGCTCATGCCTGTAATCCCAGCACTTTGGGAGGACAAGGCAGGTGGATCACCTGAGGTTGGGTGTTGGAGACCAGCCTGGCCAACATGGTGAAACCCCATTTCTATTAAAAATACAAAAATTAGCCGGGAGTGGTGGCGGGTGCCTGTAATCCCAGCTGCTCTGGAGGCTGGGGCAGGAGAATTGCTTGAACCCAGGAGATGGAGGTTGCAGTGAGCCGAGGTCCTGCCACTGCACTCCAGCTTGGGTGACAGAGTGAGACTTCATCTCAAAAAAAAAATTATAGAAAAGTTGTTTAGAATGAATTATGTATTTATAATCTGAAATAAGAGACAGAATCTCACTCTGTCACCCAGGCTGGAGTGCAGTGGCATGATCTTGGCTTACCGCAGCCCCCACCTCCTGAGTTCAAGTGATTCTTGAGCCTCGGCCTCCTGAGTAACTGGGATTTCAGGCGTGTACCACCATGCCTGGCTAATTTTTATATTTTTAGTACAAGCAGGTTTCACATGTTGGCCAGGCTGGTCTCCAGCTCCTGGCCTCAAGTGATCACCCACTTTGGCCTCCCAACGTACTGGGATTACAGATGTGAGCCACCATGCCTGGACTAAAATGAATGATTTGAGACAACATTTCGGAAAGATCACCGATCCTCCATTAAAATGCCCTGCTTTGTCTTTCCTTTTCTAAGCCTGTCTAGGGTTGTTGTATAATATGGAAATAATTTGCCAGTTTAATGACATTTAAGCTACAGAAACAACCTCCTTTTGACTTAACCTTACTCCTAGATATGTGTTAGTAGGCCAGGCGCAGTGGCTCACACCTGTAATCCTAGCACTTTGGGAGGCCAAGGTGGGTAGATCACCTGAGGTCGGGAGTTCGGGACCAGCCTGACTAACATGGAGAAACTCTGTCTCTACTAAAAATTCAAAAACCAGGCATGGTGGCGCATGCCTATAATCCCAGCTACTTGGGAGGCTGAGGCAGGAGAATCGCTTGAACCCAGGAGGCGGAGGTTGCGATGAGCTGAGATCAAGCCATTGCACTCCAGCCTGGGCAGCAAGAGCGAAACTGTCTCAAAAAAAAAAAAAAAAAAAAGAAAGAAAAAAAAATATGTTAGTATTGCTACTTTATTTACTGGTATATTACTTGCAAGCGTTATTATAAGATTAAAAAGGACAGGAGTCAGGCCAATTAAAACCAAATAGTTGTTGGTTTGCTAAGTCTCTTGAAAGCAAAAAACAAACCCCTAAAATACAACTTTTGCCACCATTGGAGAAACTTTTAAATAAAACCTTTTGTTATAAAAGCCATAAAGCTTATTTGGAAAATTGGAAAATAGAGAAATTGAAAAACTTATTACGTAATAAACTTTGGCATTTTATTTTATTCATTTCAGGTTCCCCACCATGTTTTTTAATACTGTTGTAGTCACAATATATATGCAGTGTTTTCCTATTTATTTTTTCACTTAACATAAGCATTTTTCATGTTATGACATAGTCTTCTAGTCATTATTATAATGGCTAAATTATCCATCAGGTTGTATCATAAATTAATAACCATTTTTCTATTAATAGACATTTAGGTTTGTTCTTTCTTTTTTCCCCTATTATTATGAATAGCGGGATAGCTAGGAGATTATACTGTGTGTTCTTGAGCAAGTTTTTGATCTTTTGAAAGCACCTACCTCATAAAATTGTTCTCAGGCCTAAGGAAGTAATATGTGTATAATGCATGTAGCACAGTGGTTATTCTGAGTACACAGTTCTCATTAAGTGCTGATTAATGTCACTAGAATGAATTATCTCTTTCTCCTTCTTTTTTTTTTTTTTTGAGATAGAATTTCACTCTTGTTGTCCAGGCTGGGGTGAAATGTGTGATCTCAGCTTACCGCAACCTCCGTCTCCTGGGTTCAAGCAATTTTTCTGCCTCAGCCTCCTGAGTAGCTGGGATTACAAGCATGCACCACCACGCCCAGCTAATTTTCTGTATTTTTAGTAGAGACAGGGTTTCACCATGTTGGTCAGGCTGGTCTTGAACTCCTGACCTCATGATCTGCCCACCTTGGCCTCCTCCCAAAGTGTTGGGAATGAATATCTTAATGCATATAGCTTTTTACTATACTGAAGATTGTAGGATTAATTTTCTGTGATAGAATTAACTTGATTAAAGTCTATGTACGTTTTTATGGCTCTGAAATTGCTTTGTAAAAAGTTGTGACGGCTGGGCATGGTGGGTCACACCTGTAATCCCATCACTTTGGGAGGCTGAGGTGGGTGGATCACTTGAGGTCAAGTGTTCAAGACCAGACTGGCCAACATGGTGAAACCCTGTCTCTACCAAAAAAAAAAAGCCTGTAGTCCCAATTACTCAGCAGGCTGAGGCAAGGGAATTGCTTGAATCTGGGAGGTGGAGGTTGGATTGAGCCGAGATCATGCCACTGCACTCCAACCTGGGCATCAGAGCGAGACTCCATCTCAAAAAAGTTGTGTCATGTAATGGTAGCATTTGTAGTAAAGTTACCAACTTCACTGCACTTTGCTAGCATTGGGAATTGCAATTACTTAAAATATTTAAGCTAATTTACAAGTTAATGAGATGGTTAAAAGTTTTAATTATAATTAGCTGAACCTATTAGTAAGTGTTTACTACTTCTGTTTTCTGAACTTTCTTTGTTTTTTTTTTTTCTTAAGTGATAGGCACTGTATATTGCCCAGACTGGTCTCGAACTCCAGGGCTCAAGTGATCCTCCTGCTTCAGCTTCCCAAATTATTGGGATTACAGGTTTGAGCCACTGCACCCAGCCTTCTCTATGTCTTTAGGGACAAACTTCTAGGATGAAATTTAGAATGAATTCATTCATTAGCTTGACACCATGATGTACAAATCCCTGAACTTCCACTTCATTGTTAAAATGCCATTGTTTCATGATGTTCAGTTGGCTATAGAAAGATGGGTCATCTAATGTATTGATTTCCTAAATCTCATTTGCTTCTAATTCTCTACTGATACAAGAATGTCATTGTGGTACTTCTTGAAAAATTACGATATTACATAAAAGTTGTTCTTTGAACAACAGCTTTTTATAAGATTATATTCTTTTCCAAAGAAAATAAAATAATGGAAACTGAATGTTTATACTGTGTTGCTTATGTTCTTAAAATTTATTTCACTCTAAATAGGTATTTATAGTGAT